TCGACCTTAACACCAATGAGATGAAAGATTTGAATTGCAACGCCCATATAATGCCTAGCACAACGTGGCTGATTGCCCAGTAAGCCATATCAATCATGATGTTGGGCTAAAACCCCATGCCACAAAGCTCTGCATGCCTTCAACCCCAGTTGAAAACGGTCCCCAGGTTCCAAAGAACGCTTCGAAACCTGCAAACGGCGCCTCAAAGATCTCTTCGACGGCCGCTGGCCGGCTGCTGGCCCGAGTGGTCTGAGGAGCTCATGTGTACATATTACTACAATTGCCTTAACCAAGCAATCTGATACGGGCGTGGTGGTACTAGTTCTGGCAATATTGGTGCTGGTGGTGGTGATGGCGCTGGCCCTGCTGTAACAGCAGTGTAATGCAAGGAGCAGCAGCAGCAGGAGAGTAGTGTTAGCAGCGGTATTTTTGTCGTGTAGCATTTGTAACGCTACTGGTGGTGATGATGCAGGAATTGGTTTCGGTTTGGAAGTATGATATGTAGAAATACATGTAGAGTAACCTGGCTAGGAACAATCCTCGATAGTCCAAAGCTGCGTGACCAAGGCCTGACTACTACGCAGAGCCCAAGGCGCCACAAAGAAAAGCGCAAGCAGAACGATTTCACAAGACCCTCCAAGAGCAACTTACAGTAAGCAATGCTTCAAATAAGTCAGTTAGGGTTTAAGGTTTGGGGTTCAGGATCATAAATTATGACATCTTTGGAGCTTGCTGGAAGGTTCATTGGAAGGATTTGACAAGGGCTTGTAAAAAAGGATCATCATGAAGGGCCAGAACAAAGCTCACAGGTAAGTACATGAGCCAAAGATTTCTAAAAACGTGGCTCCCAACCACTCAAGAGTCTGGGAGAACTCCTGAGTTGTTTCCACCCTAAGCCCTGACCCTATAAACCCTAAACCCCTAGACCCTAAACCCTTGTTGCCAGCTCTGGGACCCAGGCGGCAAAGCCTGTGAGTGGAAGCGGGAGGGCTTGACACGTGTGTTTCTCCAAATTCGTGGTCTCTTTTTTGGGTTCATTTCATCAGCGCTGTATCATCTTGATTGTGTGCTGGCTGATTTTTGTTCTCACAAATGTAAGCGGTTTCGGGTTGAGGGAATCTAGCGTTGAGGTCCTCGGGATTCTAGGGAAAAAGGTGAAAGCCTTCCATACGTGTGGAGTTATAGGAATGCTAGAAACCTGAAAAGCACTGCCCTGCGAGGGGTATTCTGGACGTGAGTTATTCAGCTGTTGTACCCTTGCACAAGGGCGAAAGTATCGCACAGGCACAAGTGCAGATTGCCATGATCATGCAAAAAAGCCGCTTCTAACAAAGCCAAAGCGCCAAAACCCACACACCTAGATAGCAGGGGAACCTCGCGAAGGCTCGGCAGGCTGGACCTCCTCAGCGTCCATGACCTGTAGCAAGGTGAGAAGGACTGTGAAGTGAGATGACAGGAAGTGACTCGGGCCTCGCGAGGATGTTGGATTTGAAGATGATGAATTAAGTGGCCGGGAGGGCTGTAAAACAGGGACACGTGTGACTTTGCGGTTCCTAAGCGAACGGGACCAAGGGCATGTTCTACTCCGCAAAAATCGAAGGTGCATAAGTCAAGGGTGCTTGGTCGAGTGTGTTGTCTGGAAATGCAGTATCTTTGCCACAGACGCAAGTCCTCGAGTCACACGTCTGGTTGCGTTGACGTTGGAGAAGTGCACCAGTCCAAATTTGAACTCGTTGTATCATCTGTGCATCTGACACGTATTGCGTTCGACTGCCATGTTTGAAAGCCGCGAATCTCGGAAGCTCATCAAAAGCTGTCAGGGTTATTTTGCGGTCAATAGAAGGCAGCCTGTTGTCGTTCCCCCTTGCCAACATTGTGCTGCTGCGCAAGTATGTCTTCAAGGAGACGCCGCAGTGTTTGGACTCTCCGGACCTTGAGATGTACCATGACTTACTCAGACCCTCCACCCAATTCAATAGACGTCTCTGACGCTTCAAACGCAACACGAGACTATCAGAATAGCTCGATAATTTTCATTCACTTGACAGAGGGCGCATGCAAAAAGACCGTCAGATGTCGCGAACATAGGATGGCTAACTGCACCCCTTTCTTTGCCATTCTTGTCAATTTCAAGGTTTGGACTTGGGGTCTTAAACGATTGCTGTGTAATCCTGTTCGAGCCCCCCCCCCAGCTTTGGACCAATAATTCATGACAAGTGCGGAACTTCGGAGAAGGAAGGTTTCTGTATCTTGCTGATTCCTGGACTCCTCGCCAAGCAAAATTCATCAACTCTCAAACCGTCAAGCTTCAACGCAAATACCTCCATACTAGGGCGCCCATCGGCAGAAAAGCTAGCTGAAAGAGAGCATAGGTTTAATTTTACATGGTTTGCGAAAATCTCAAGCGCAAGGGAATTCTGCAGTCCGGACTCGCAGCCTCAGCATCAGCTATCTCGGAGACTTCCGTTCCTGGTATGGTGGCGAGCTTCGCCAGAAACAAGGTGTCTGCAAAAATTAATGAACACGTGCGATGTGCAACAAAACTGGACAGATTACCCAAGAACTAAGAACCCACAACAAGAACCTTCTTCAAGGAGCGGAACGCAACAAACGTCGCCCCGCCTATAATCTCTGTTTGTCAGGATCCTCCATCAAATAAATATAACCACGCAACAAGCACTCCACCGCGCCCGCACCTTCCTCGGTCCGAAGCTCAGCTAGCTTCACCTGCAGTGAGACAGTAACCATGTGGTGCATCACATGCCCATGGCTTAAGCGGCGCTGAGTGAGAAAACGGGTAAGATCTCGAAGTGAAGATGCTAAGGAAATCCCTCACGGTGATGGCTACAGTATCGTCGCTGCCCATAGACCTTAGCACTCATCTAAAGCTTCTCACTACAGCTCAACGTCCTACAAATACTCAACTTCAACCTCTCAACAACCACTTGTTCAGCGCCTCTTCCATGGCCTGGGCCACTGCTTCTGGCCTCCGTCTTCGTGCCGGAATCTCACAGGAGAAGAAGCTATTTGCAAGGGAGCTTGAAAAGCTTTTGATCTCAGCCCAGCAAGCCTCCTCCGTAGACACAAAGGATTGACCTGGCAACCGCCCCGCGTGAAGCAGGGCTTTTCTCTGCAAATTGCATGCTTCAGGAAAAGGCACGCGACAAGTTGGACCTGAAGCATTCTGTAATTTTACAAACCCCCGCGAATGCGTCCATGTGTTGAACGTGCTCTTGTCCGCTTCTTACCATCTAGATAGAAGCGATGCATTTTGACTGCTGCATCCTGCGGAGCTTTGCCAGGCATTGGATGTCTGACACGTTGGACGCTGTCATGTCGCGGATCCGAGTTGTGCATTTGGCTCAGGCTTGGCAGGGCGACACGTCGGAAGCACGTTAGCCGCTAGTCCCGAGTCCTTCACCATGCAGAATATGTTGCATAACACGATGGACGTACAATCTGCACAGCGTCCGAGTATCAGGGTTGGCGGAGATGGTGAATCTGTAAGGTCTTCCAGGATTCTGCGCCGCTGGCTGTAGTGTGATGTGCACATGACATCACGACTTTAATGTTTGGATGATGCTGCTGTACGTGAAGCCACAGCAGGTGCCAAGATGCAGCTGGTGTGACCGACTAATCCGGAGACACGACACCAATCTGACCGTTGCCTGCGTCCAACGCTCAGGAAACCACCCTTCGTTCTCTTCTATAACTTTTTCACCAGCTTCTTTTTCCACGAATCACCATCCTCAGTAGCCCCGAATAGCCCCGAACTCCTCGAGGATCTACCTGACAGGAGAGCCTGTCCGTTTGGCGGCGAGGACCTTGCACAGCTCCCCTGCTTTGGCCGCAATGCGCTCTGCAAGCTGCACCTGGTGGAGAGGGTGGGTTCCAAGGTTCTGTCTATTGGTAAGTTAGTTTAAGGTCTGAAAAGTTACTGGAGTTTCTGGGCTCAGTTGGGCCTCTATGCTACTGTGAGTTTTGCATGTGCAAGACACTTCCTGAAGGGCCGGGATGCTGTTGCTTTTGGGGCTTGAAGCGCTCGCTGTTTCGAGTTCAGGGTGCAAGTTTATGTGTCACTTGCAAGTTCAGCAGAGTTTGGGCTCAGTTTTACCCGTATCCCAGGCATGTCTTTCAAACACCAGGGCACCGTTGCAATTGAAATATGCCGACAGCTAGTTGCACTTGAGATATGACAGCCCTGTTAATCCAAGGGAGGATGCAAGGGTCCTGAGGGCGAAGCTATAAAAAGCCGATGGCCAAGTTTGTGGGGCGTTCGAGTGGTGCTGGTGACTCGGACTTGGCAGCTGCAGAGAACTCCTTACAAGAGCATCCAAACATGACGCTGCACCGTGAAACTGACTGGGCCAGAAGACTTCCAGATCTCCTAAGCCTCGGAGTTTGCGGCAAGTCTCGGAGCTTTCCGCTCTCTGACTAGCCGACTTGCTTGGGGCCTAGAGGGTCAGATACACTTATGCACACTGCGCACCCCAAAATTGACAGATTCCCCAGCCACCATCTCCTAGCACACAACTTGCATAGCCCTACGCCAAAACTTAGATAACAACGCCAGTGAGAAGTCTCTGTTACCTGAAGCTCTTACCGTTACGGGCCTGTCATCCCTTTCGCAGCTGATGTACCAACAATTGCGCTGCCATCTCTAGAAAACAAAAACCCACCTCCAAAACAACCATTCCTCCCCAAACCTTTTGACATGAGAAAAAGCACCCGAGCCTTGGTACCACTAATCGGCAGAGCAAGCGCCCTGCAAAAGTCTTTCCTTGGCTTGAGAAGGAGGCTTTTAGGGTTTTTTGGGACTTTTAATATGACACCTCCGTCGGAATTCCGAAGCGTGAAATTCTTTGAGAAACAGCAGTCCAGGGACTAGTTGATGCTAAATACCAGCAAGACAACATCTTGTGGCAACCATCAATCGCGAATGATGGTGCAAGTCCCTACACAGAACAAAGAAGAATGACCTTGGCTTTTTGTGAAGCTTCAGATCCACAACTCGGTACTTTTCCGAGAGAAACTCCACCGCACGCCCGGCATCTTTGAGGCCTCCCATGACCTGAGCATTTTGGCAAACGGTTTAGGGCTTAGGGTTTCGAGTTCTACGGTAGTATACAGTTTACCTCAACAAAGTCTCTCTTCCCCAATGACCAGGCCCAAAAAAGTTCAAACTGTGCTATAGAGACCAAATAAGGAAGCCCAAAAGTTTAAAGTTCTTCTATTGGCTAAGGAAGAAGTGCCTTGTTTCCTGCATTGCTCCTGTGGACTTTCTGTTTCTTGCGATTTTGATTGTTTGAACTTTGCCAGCGTTGGGGGGCTGCAAAGGCAAAATGAATTTGCGAAATGATATGCTACGTTATAGTTGTGGGTCCCGACTCCAGCTAAAACATCATTGTCCGCAACTGCCCAGTTTCGTTGAAATGCAGTACGGGCAGTGTCGCGCTTGAAAACTGCTTTTCCCCATGTCGGCGTTTATGTTGCTGCAGGCCAAGGCTTGAGAGATCAAAAAACACCTGCTGAGACGTTCCAGCTTGTTGGCCACATCCCACTTTGCAGCGAACTCCCTTGCCCTTCAGACCCTTTCGGCTTTTTTTTTATCTAGGCCACCTCGATGATTCGCAGCACGGGGCTGCTTGCCTCATAGAAGGCGTCCTCCTTCAACAAGGCTTCCTGCGCGCATAGCAAGACAAGCACCATCCGTGCTTTGAATCCCTGGCCGTCTAAACTGCCAGGCATTGGTGCCAAGGCACTGGTGGCCCCTCGACAACCGGCCCATGCGAAACAATGACCAGGCTGGTTAAAGGTGAATTTTCTGGCTATATACAGAGGCTCGCGGGTCTGACGTGCCCAAACCTCCATTCTCGGCTCAAAAAAGGGTGCAGTTTAACCCCTAGCCTGCCGCTGTTGTGAGGGGAATGGAAACCTGACAGGTTTCGAATACCAGCTGCTGTTATTGAGTACGCGGCAAGAATTACCAGGCACCCACGAGACCATACAAACACAAGAATCATCGGAACAGGGCACTGCTGGAGGCCCGCTTCCTCACAAACCCCATTTTACTAGCACCCCGAAACCTGTTTTCTTCGTGGCACAGCCCCGGATCACGCCTTCCCTGCACCAGATGCTCAGAAACCCTGCTCCTCGATGCGGTCCAGGAGTTCAGCACGCGAGCCCCCTATCCGTTTCAGGCCCAAGCCAGCACAGATGGCCTTCAGCCCTGAGGTTCAGAATTCAAATTCGAAGGTTCAGGAAGTTCAGGGCTTGAGGATCAATGCTTTGAGGAGATTTCTGAGGCTGAGATGGCTCTAAGACTATATGATTAGGGGGATGGGGCTTTAAAGAGTCTTGACAGGGACCATAAGCATGAGCCAGACTAAGTTAACCACAAACACTCTGACACGTCATGTACAAAAAACAGCCAAAGAAGACACTATGTCGAACGTGGGCTTCTTTTATGCATTCAGACAATGCTTGCAAGGACTTTCCCGTTCCCTTCTCCGACCAAGACCATGAGAAGCAGTGACAATAGTGAAACAGAAAGATCTGCTTCTGCAGGTACTTGGATCACCATCGAATCTGAGCCCTGCTGTAAAAATTACAACCCCTAGAAGATCACAGACATGGGCGTTCCTCCATGTTACCCAGTGATGGAGAATCAAACGGACAAATGGAACATGAAATGGGACGTTTAGATCTTTCCAAATGAGCCATCCTGTTCGAAGACGACTTACACAAGCATCGAATGCATAAGGGAACAGCATTTTGCTGCGGTACTGACTGTGTGCAGGTGCCCGAACGATAGACCTGAAAAGAAACTCGATCCCTTTTAAAGTCTTCATGCTGCCATTGGCTGAGCCAAAACTGCATTGGATTCAGTGCAAGTGTCAAGGACTATCCCAGCTACATTCCCAAACTTACCAGTATCTACTATCCAAAGCTATAGCATCATGCTATGCTATTGCCATGTATTCTATTAGCGTAACCCATGGCAATGCAGTTTCTGGAATCCTGGAGCTGCTTGGGGGCCTTTCTCGCTCTCCTCTCGCAGCATCTCCTCCCGTATGGGAGGTTCCGAGGAGCGCAGTCGCAGGAGGAGTTCCGTCATGGCCTTGAAAGCCGCCAAAACCATCAGGAGAATTATCTTGTTTGTGGCGATGGGAATAAAGAAGAATCGTGCCAACAATAATGAGAAGTCTTGCAACGGCAGACTGGGAAGTGTTTTACTACCAACAGAATTGAGGCCCAGGCTTTGCCTAAGGCTTCCCCTCTACTTTCCCTGTGGGGATAAATCTTCTCATTCTCTCGAGAAACTTTACTTATTGGTTGTTAGCAGGAAATCAGGGAATGTAATCCCTACATAAGTCCTGAATAATATATTCCCATATTCTCTACTAAACCCCCAGCAAGTCTATGCTGAGGGGCTCCCAGTGCCTCCACACTTCGTATGGCAAAGCACGAGGTCCGGCTGCTTCCGCGGGGTCGAAGCTGAGCTGCTTTCCCTGACTCTGAGATTTTGTAAGGCATCTCCAAACTTCTACAGGGATACAGGTGTTACACAGGGGTTATATTGGCGTTATATATAGAGATTATATAGGGTTCACAGGAGTTAGGGCTTAGGGTTTCCTCCTGACAAGAAAAAATGTGGCACGCCTGATGCAAGAGCACTTGCTGCCACTCCCGCTGGGATTGCACCAGATGGCCTGGCTGCGACCAACAACCGTCAAAGGTAGCCCATGTTTAGCCCAACATTATATCCAATCCTAGGTACATAACGGGAGTACAAGCTGCTCTGCATATCCTCCTTCGCGATTATGTAAAGCTTGTGAGAGCTTCTGCTGCTGAGCGTGGGGTATGAATCGAAAAGGAGAAGGCATGATATTGGTAGGAACCAGAACGGCAACCAGGATTTCAATAGTTTTATATAATCCTGATATAATCCGCATATAATCCCTATGTAATCCTGATATAATCCATATATTACCCCACTGGGTGTTCCCAAAGCATGAGGGTCCACAGCAGGCACGTCTCCTCTTATGACAAGCTTGAACGCCCAATAACCCTACACGTAAACCGAGGACCAGGCCATTTGGGCAAGTCCCTACGACAATGCTGCAGTATGTCAGTATGTTTCCCTACTAAGAATCTCTGACAAAGCATCTGTTTTGCTAGAACAGTCCCAAAACAAGGCGCGAGGGCCAGCCTGTATCTTTGCTTGGCCGGCGATGGCGGGACAGCGCCCTGACTGGCTGCTGGTCCATGTCAGATGGAGGAATGAAAGTTCGACTAGCCACCATGAGAGCTGCTAACCAACTTGAAGAACTCGTAAAGCATTTCACTCCAAAATAGAATTCAACATTTTTTGGGAGATCCGAACATTGAGAATTGAATGATGCCTGCAATCTCCAATTTACAGTCGGCTTTGCATCCTGACATATTGTCAAAAGAACGACGGCGCACTATGGGGATCAATGTGCTTAGGTGGGGGTTTCCCAAAATTAGGGGTTCGGTGTCGTGGGTCCCTGTAATAATTGTAGAATTTTGGGATCTCCTATATGGTGACGGGGCTTCAGGAATTCAGGCTCCCCGCAGCAGTCGCCACAACAAGTTTGTAGGTATCCCGCGCATTCAAAGCCCGTGCGGGCTGACACTTCATCATGAACTTGGGGACTGACCTCTCCAAGCACCTGTATTACCTACAAAGCATGACGCTCTGCTCCTTTGAGCCTCTCGCTTCCAAGTGGAGATCCCAGGAACGAAAGCACTAGGCGGGAAAACAACCAAGCACAACTGACATATTCCCTTTTTAACCCCTCTATTCCCTTTTTCACCCCTACATAAGCCCTTTATAACTGTTGTTCGGAAGCCGGAAAGTCAT